GGGAGCTGTGCCTGTGCCCGTGGGCAGGGCTGCAGGCAGGGGTGGGGGGGCTCAGTGCTCTAGGGTCAGGTTTGTACAGAGACCCCCCAGAAACCACTCTTTATTCAGCTTCCCCTATATCCCAAACTCCCAAGACATCACTCAGGAGGGAAGACAAATGCAAACAGTGCTGCTAAAATACCTGCAAGTTCTAAACCTTTGATAATTTAAAGGCAGCAAGGAACATCACTGCATACAAAGCCATTAATGGGCTATGGGGAGGCTGGGCTTGAGCCTGCCTCCAACATCCATTTGACTCCTTGATCCCCATCTCCTGTTTCCTTTCAGCCTCTCCCAGGTGCAAGGAGTGGGGGGCTAGAGTCCCCTCACAGGCTGGGAGGGGACAGGAGGGGTGGGGGTGTCTCAGGACCTGCCCTGCTCAGCACAGCAGCAAAAACATCTGACATGGCTTCCCAGGGGCAGACTGAACAGCTCTTGCAGAATAGGCTTGCTGCTGACACCCACCCAAAGAGGGGCTCAGGATGGGAAAAGGCCCCTATGCAGTGTCTGCTGTGCCAGGGGTGAAGGTAGAGGAAGGGGTTTCTTTGAGGAAGATTAATGCAGGCAGATACACACAAACCAGGTGCCCTTCAATACTGGCCCAGCAAGCTGCCCCCACCCCTGCCCAGGGGCCTGCAGCCAGACCTGCACTTTAGGTGATGTCTGGCAAAGGAAAAAGAACTTCTAGCACAAGGGGTGGCAGGTTGGGGCCTGGGCTTTGGCCATCTTCCAGCTGCTGCCCTTGATCAAGGGAAAAACATGTACTTTCACCCTCTGTCAACCAAACATTTTGCAAGAAACAGAAGCACCACCAGCCCACAGCACCCCGCCGGGAGGGGAGCCAGGACCATAGCGCATGAAATGCCCCTATCCCAGTGCTGAAGGGAGCCACAGCCAGGGTGCTTGGTGGAGCACTTGATCTTAAACCTAAGTGATTCTGATTCTGCCACTGTTGCCCACTGCGGTGTGGAGCAGAACTGCTGTGAGGGACCAGGAAGAGGAAGTTTGGAGCCCATGCTGCATTTTCACACACCTAGTCACCACTGGGAAAATCAAGAACTCGGAGTTTTAAGTGCAGACAGCAAGACTGAGTTACTCCAAGAGGTGGCTGCTTTGAACCACACGCTCCTGGTGCAGGTTCTGGCTGGCAGGGAGCTCAGGGCCTTTCAACCTCAGAGGACAGACCATCAGCCAGCCACCTTCACCTTGGGCTTCACACACCCAAGACTGGTTCACAGCCCTCAGCTGCAAGGGCTGTACCTGGTGAGGCACATTCTCAGCAGCCTGGACTCTGGTTCACATGCAACTCCAGCTGCTCACTGTAGGATGTAAAGCCCAAACATCAAACTGGTCCCAGTTCAGGCAGCCTGGATGCAAGGCTCTGTCTGTACACAGGTTATCCAAACAGCATACACTATCTCCAAACAACAAACATGCACATTGCAGGATTTCACAAAACTAGAGGAACCACAGAGCAAGTGCTCCTACACTCTAACTCACCCTTGATACCTCCCAGCTGCCCACATATAGCCACCTCACTCAAGTTTGCACCCACAAGTGTTTATGGGAGAACCCCTTCTCCAGGCTTGTTCCCACCATGCTGCCCTTATAACACCAGAGAATTAAGACTGATTTAATGGTCTATAAGCTGCCCCCTCAGCTACCTGGCTACAGACCTCAGGGACTGCATGATCAGAGATTCACAAACACCACAAAACCTGGTCCTGTCTGACTGGGGGACTGGGATTTTAACCTTACGCTCAGACAACACTATCAGGTCATTCTGGGCAGCAGCTGGCCTTCAGCTCTGGCCTCCTATGATGCAGCACCATGGATGTTAGGAGATTCCTGCCTGCAGGCAGCTCTTGGTCAGTTCAGACAACATTCTGCTGGATGGAACAAACAGATCACCACACTGGGTAACAGAAAAAACACCAGGGAACATGGGTGGTAAACACAGTGAGGGTATAGTGGAGAAAGAAGTCAACAGTGGTCAGCACCAGTTCAGTACAGCACCTTTCCAGAGCTGCTGGGCCCACTGGGAGCCTGGACAGGCCACTCCTGCACCCAGGGCACAGGACAGGCAACGCAGGCCCCTGCTGCCAGTCCTCTTGCCTCATCATGGAGAAAGGCTGCAGATCGCTGCCTGCACTGCAAAACACGTTTCCATCCAACAGAAGGGCTTGGTGACAGGCCTACAAGGGAACTAAAAGAAGTTACAAGTTATTTAAAACAACAAAGTAAGCACTTTATTTCCATTAAGCATGTTGTTTTAGTATCACAATGGAATGATGAGAAAACGTTTAAAAAAACCAAAAAAGTCTCTAACCCCCACAAACAGCAGGGAGGTTTTCAAGGCAATTTAAAAACAAAGGGAGTGACAGAAGTGCCAAAACAGTCCCAACATCACGAGACTCCTCCTCTTCCTCGAGCTGGGCAGGGGCAGGAAGGTGGAATGACACGAAGGTACGAATGTCTGAAGTAGTCTTTGGCGCTTCTGCCTCACGTTTGATATGCACATGATCTCTCAAGACAACTCCACAGAAATGTCCAGACGCAACAAAGTGCTACGTTAGTAGAACAAAATCCCAGCGAGAGGACTTTCCGTACAGTTGAGATGCCCTGTGGCTGGGCGTTAAGACACATCCTGCAGACAGTGCTGACTCCAGCTGGGGGCCTTTGGGTTGGGAGAGAATAAAGGAAGCGTGGTGCGTGAATCCAAGAAGATGTGCCCATGTGCAAGACACTGCGTCCTGCAGTACTGACAAAACCAGGGAGGAGAGAAGGTGGTGGCAAAATGAAACACGGATCCGTTCCCTACAGTGATCAAAACACGAGTCCAGTGCAGTAACTATAGTTTCACAGTTCCAGGGGGCAAACTGTCATTGCAGAGTCTGTAGTAACGCAGGTCATTCACCAGTCTGTGCACATTCTGGGTAAATGATGGCAGATCCTGGAAAAGATCAAACAACACATTGTACTGCAAACAGAACGGTACCTATAAGCACTGTCTTACAGCCGAGAACAGAAAGGAACAGAAAGGGCCAAACACCCACGTGTATTTTCATACATGGGAACAACAGACTCCTTCCTCCAGTCTGAGACCAGGAAACCTGAGTTTCTGCAGCCCACGTGCAGGGAGCAGACAGCTCCAGAGCTGCTCTGTGCAGAGCTGAATCCAGATCTGGGCTCTGTTTGTGGCAGAAGCTTCTCGGCATGCAGTCAGGCACTACACAAACGGTCACAACATGGTCATCTGCAGCAGCAACTGCCAACAGCATTCCTGCCAAAGCTCCTGGGTGCCACAGACCCCACAGTGAGGGCTAATTTTCCTGAAGAGCAACTGCCTTCTAGAGCCCAGTGACTCTCTCAAGGCTCCTTGGCCTCAAATCCCCATCATCTCCCGTGGGAGAGGAAGCACTCAATGGGCAAGCAAGCTGCAGCACTGCCATGATGTTCCACAGGGAGGTTAGAGACCCTCCATTTGCTTTCAAATAGGAGGGGTTTGAAAGAATTGTGGGCCACTGCAGATAATCTGCTGTTGTCTTCACTGTAATCCTCAAACATCTGGCCAGCAGCTGGAGCCAGATTTTGGCAAGGATCTGAGTGTCCCACTCTAGAAAATGTCAGCCTACCCCTAAGAAAATTTCCTCCAGGAAACATATTCCCTAACTCCCACAGCATTCAGCAGTTTGAGACATGAGATGGCAGTTCTGCTACCTACAGTGAAAAATCCTTGGCTCGGCATTGCTGAGTATGGAAGCGTGTGGAACAAAAGGCACTGCCACAAAACACTGCCCTGAGCAGCTCACTGCTGCCTGCCAGTGTTCCAGGAGAAAAACCCTGCGCATCCTAGGAATACTGGCACCCTGCTGCAGCGTTTCCCCTTCTTACCCTGTCCATTTTGAAATTCCTTCCCAGTACGTTTTTCTGGTTCGAGTCCACACCATCACAGCTGGCCAGGAACTCGGGCAGAAAGGCTGAGTAGAAGCCATCAAAGTCCACCGAGGCCATATTGTAGGTTGCAATGCCGATCTCCTCCTGCAACAGGTCATGCGACTTGTGGACAAGCACCTGAAGTAGCACATTTACAAACTGGAACAGCATGGTTGTCCGGAAGATCTTCTGCACAGTGAGAGAGAAAAGCAGACTGTTAGGAGTCGTCACACCACAGAGGGACCACAGCAGCCAGAACATTGCTTCAGAAGGACAAATTGATCAAGGTCAGACCAGGCATGGCTGAATGGGGCCACTTCAACACCAGCAGCTTCTGAGCTATCAGCAGGGTCTGCAAACTCTTGTGAGCACAGAGATAATTTTCCAATCCAAGATCACAAATGGCGACAGTAAACTAGATTAATATCAGCTTTAAAATTAACAGTGAATTTCGCCACACTTATCCTCATGTATCTGACATGAATTTAAGCATTTAAGCAAATGGCATCAAGTCCCATTCAAGCTTGAGCCAGTTTTAGCCCTGCACGGTGTTCCTGAAAGCCATGGAACCTGGCTAGCTGCCTGAAAGTCTGAAACAGGAAGCTGTTAACATGATGGGCTGTCCTTCAGTTGCAACCACAGATGTGAACCTGAAAGCTCTGCTTTCACAGGCTAACCAAAAGGTCAAGACCCTGGATTCTAACTTTAATTCTTCAAGGCAGCAGCTAACAGGTCTAAATTAGGAGGGGCTGGAGGATGGGTCGTACATGGCAGCAATGGAGACAGCCACCTGGCAGTGACCCGACTGTAAATACTGGATACCCTACTGCTGACTCAGATGGGAACGCTGGAGGAACTCGGTCAGTGTCCCACTGATGATCCCAATTTCTACTTCTGTGTGTGCTCTTTGCTTTCCCTCATTCTCACATGAGGGAACAGAACAGAATCAGGATCCCTCCCATGCGCAATGCAGCA